TATAAATGTAATCCTTCAGTGAATACGGAGTTGTGTGTTACAACAGATCGAAATCCAACCATATCAAAAGTTGTCACTAGTTTGTTTTTAATTATGCACAAAGCTACACAAGGGCTATCTGTGCTCTGCCCACCACGGGTATCGAAACCCGGTTTCTAGCGTTGTAAGTCCGCAGACATACCACTGTGCCACTGGGGGGTTTGTCACTAGTTCAAAAGCTTTAACGGTATTAAAGCAAAAGCCCCCTACATAATAACAATAAGCTACTGTAATAGAGTAACTAATGAACTAAACATCTCTCTCAGTAACAACTGAACAATAGAATTTGTATCTTGTAAGTCATCTTAAGTTAAGAAAATTTTAGACATTACGGCACACGTGATTTACAAAAAAACGTCGTCCTCTACACTTGTGTCTCTACAACAGGCACTTGCTGTCCATTCTACAAAGTTTCATCATGAATACTCTGTCTAAACAATCTATCAAAGAAAAAAACTTTCGCTGGTTGAAAACGATATCAACTTTTAAATAAATAAAACGTGGCCTACAATAGTATGTAACATAATGGCATAAGACTTGGGTTAATGAATAATTAGTAGAACTTTAAAATTTTTGTTCACTGCAAGAAATAAAAATAAAATACTCATAATGATAACAATGACGCAAGAACGAAATGTGTTTTATATGGGGAGGGACAAAAATTACTATACATTTAGTACTAAATAAAACAACTTGAAAATATTGTTTCAACTTTGTTTCAAAGTAATAATTAGAAATTAAACTATGTTTTAAATGAAACAGTTGCATAGTTACTTTTACTCCAACTGGTATGTTACAAAAACACAAAGTTAACATAGTCATGTAGTTGAAAATTAGACTGATTAATATCAAGATCCCCAATTAATATACATGTTGCCAACACTTCGCACAAAGAATTTAATAGTTTCGAAGTGGACTCATTTCCCTCTTAAAATTAGTTCATCTGAAATACACGCTCTTAAAACTGTTGTAAACTTATATAAGCCTAATACTAAAATGCATTTTTACGTTTTAATTGAAAATGGGTGAGAGTTTTGTATAAGGAATGAAAAACTATACACTTAATTCACAGTAATGTAAAAGACATGTATCACTATCAGCCTGAAAATAACTGTTAGCTTAACATAATAATTAATTACCAATGTTTGTATGTTGAAGATTTCTTAAACAATTAGGACTGCAAAAAAAAAGACATTTAGGCCTATCAGACGACAAACAACTTTTGGCTTAGGCGTAATTAAAATGATAATAAACTGATCACTTCTTAGGTTAAGTTTTGTGCCACATTTAATACTGTTGCGTCAGCGAGTCACATGACTACTGTGACGCCACGTTT